TGTGGATTTTGGTGGGACCAGAATAGAGAGACAGGATTGCCAGCAATCATGCCAAGCAGGATGGTCAATTTTTGGATGACCAGGTTACTAACGCGGTAGCCTAACCTAACTCTAGCTCATGTTTTAAAAAAAGGTTAATGGAGTTGGTTTCAGGTATAGATCAAGTGTTTCCTTTAAAAGGAGAACTATGGGGTCAGTGTTTTTCCCCATAGTTCTCCTTGGGGTAACGGGAGGACACAAACTAGCGTCCTCCCGTCACCCTAAGCTCAGTATACCGCGAGCTGTAGACGCCGCAGCCAGAGCAGATCCCGACTTAGACTTCGAGATCCCCCCCAGCTACGTGAGTGACAGCTGTACCCACCCCCATCTGTTCTGGCAGATCGGCATGGGGAATCCAGCCCCTCCCCCTGTCACGGCAAAGAGCCGTGACAGGATCAAGAGGTGAGCGAACCCGGTATGTGTTCACTCACCTCCTGATCTACTGAGCCGACCTGTGACAGTCTCATTGTCACAGGTCGGCTTGAACTATGAGGCGAGTGGAAGTCACTCATCTCATAGTTCTCCTTTAAAAACACTTTTGGCCAGACTACAGCCATTAACTTTATATGCATAAAAGAAAAAGTGTTTTTCCCCCATAGTTCTCTTTAGTGTAACAGGAGGACAAACAATGCTGTCGAGATCCACCCAGCTGCATGAATTGACAGCTGGCTCTGCCTATCTAGAGACAGAACCAGCTGTAACGTCCCCTCCACAATAGTATACATTTAAACCATCAATAGGGAAATACATGGCTACAGCATTACACGAGTTAGAGGGGCAGTTTTATGTAGCCAGACCACAACAATGTTATAGGTATGGGTTGAGAAAGGAATGTGGTTAAGTGTGAGGGAGAACAAAGAGGTGGGGAGAATGTTGAGAGAGAAGGGGCGCAGAATTGTAGGTCAAGTACTAAAAGGAGGGAGGGGTGCAGGCCCCCCCTTTCCAAAAAAAAGTCTACACCATCACAAAAAGGGGCAGTTGCCCATTTTTGGGAATAGCCGACTATAATCCAGGGATGCCAGGTGTTACAAGAGACAACCCGTTGCCCTCAGACCAGGCGATATTTTTGATGGCACGCATCGCTTCTGCAGAACCAGAACTGGGAATATGCAGGTTCTTGCAGCATATACTAGATTTATTGGGTATAGATTTGTGAAAGTTGGATCAATCTAGGTTTTGATTAACAGCCGACAGACTGCTTAAGGGAAACCATGTACTGGGCAAGAGAAGGCTGCAATTGCTGGCCTACTGAAAATGGTTAGCGCTTGGTTGTCTTGCAAATCCAATATAGTTGCACCAGAGCAGATGAGAGATCAGGATACGTGTAGTGCAGGGGAGGGGCATAGTTTCAGGGACATAATACAAGTTTATGTATCACATGTAAAGTAATTATTGTACAGATAACCAGGATCCATATTCCATTTCATGAGAAACTCAGCTTTTTTTTTTTTATGAAGTGATTTTATTTAGTCTAGTGGCTTAAAATAAATGATTTTGCAGAGAAATCCATGTAAATTCCTTCTACAGTCAATACAACATAAAAAGATATTGAGTTAATGGAAGGGGGCACACAATGATAATCCTCAATAGTACAGAAGGTCCCGCCCCTACAGTAGTCCTGTTCAGCATTCTTCTGCCTGGAAAATACAAAACAAAAAGAACTTCAATTACTCAGAACTTTAGACACGAGGTTTGTTAGGATTATTAAAACATGGCCAGTTGAGTTACTATTGAGGTCAGTTAAAGTTTCGCTTCAGGGGTTTTTGTCATCATGCCACCCACCAAGAGAGTGAACTGCTTGGGGTGGCACTGTAATTCGGCCTTTTATGTCATCATTCCTCAAACAGAAAACCCACCACACACCTATTGCCAGTACAAACCTGGTTCTGAAGTGCTCATGTTCCTGTCCAACCTTGTTAAGACCGCATGGCTTGTTTCCTGTTGCACCAGAAACAGGGTGACTGCTCCTTATGTAACCTGTAAAGAAATTACAAGTTAAACCTACTACAGTTCATTATACATTGGCCATACAGGTCGCTTGCCATTGTATTACATTATCCCATGAGAGCTTCCAGAAACATAAGAAATGAAAAGCGCTTCATTCTCTATGGGAAAGGATCCAACTTAAACCCCACCCCCCAACAACTTACAAGAAAGGAATAGATCGCCGGTCCAGCTTGGTCCATTTACGTGTTCTTTATACACAGCAGACCTCCCTGGCTGGGTCAGAGGTATTATTGGACACTACATGGTGGTCGTATTCATGAAGACCGTTGCTAGTTCTGTAGACAGTTTCGTAGTACATCATCTTTGGACCAAGGCATGTGAGGTGTCCTCCTGGGGTGAGGAGTCATGATGGCTGAAGATACCAACCCAGGAATCACTAAAAAGTAGAGGGCAAAGAACAAATATTAGTTCTGCTTTATAGGGACACTAAACTCAGGAGTTGCATCTAAAATACATTCAGGTACCTGAACAACAATGCATCTTATTTGTGTATCACTCGGCTGTAGATCCTCCAGTCATCTCTGAATTGGTGCTGACACTGTCCTTCCTTCTGAAGGGGGGCTACTTTTGTTCCCCATGGTCCCTGCTCCAAGATAGACTAGAACTTCAGCGCAAATTGGCTGACTAAACATGATTGTAGTCCATCCCGGGAGCGGTGACTACTTTACAACACACACAGGGACCATGGGCAACAGAAGTAGCCCCCTCCAGAAGGAAGGACAGTGTCAGCTCCAATTCAGAGATTATTGGAGGATCTACAGCCCAGTGATAAGACAAATAAGATCCATTCAGGTACCTAACCAACAATGTATTTTTAAGATGTCAGTGTCACTTTAACAAATGGATCTAAAAGACATCGCAGTGAAGGAGGGGGTTGGGAGGATCACAGGACTGCTGAGGTCAGATAGGATTTCGCTTCCAGGATATTTGTCATGGTGTCTCACTGTAGAGAGAAAACTGCTCAGGAGACACTGCAATTCGGCCTTTTCGGTCATCATTCCTCAGCAGACAAAGCACACCGCTTTTGTCTTTAGACCTACTTGAGTGCATGTATACAGACACCTCGGAATCCAGATTGTCTAACTGGACACATTCAGAGCGCCTCCACAACCCCTCCCTCCACCGGGCTGATAGAGTTCTCCCGCCACAGCACCCTCCCTGAGATCACTTACCACGCCGCTCTCCTGCTCGCCGCCATCTTCCTCCAAGCATGCTTGTCACGTGATTAGCGGTCGGTGATCACCCCCTCGCTCTTCGGAGCGGGTAGCTTAGTCACGTGACGTGTCCGCGGCTGCGTGCCTCAGCGGCCATTTTGTTGGAGTCCTTGCCACCGTGCTGGGTACACTTCAAACACGCCAACCCGTGTCGGATATAGGACGGTATGTGGCCACCAAAATGTTAAACACCGACCTGCAGCTGAACTTGAGGGGAAAAAAAAAAAAATCTAGATATAGAGTGCAGATTAAGTGCAAGGAAAAAGCACAAAAAAAAAAAACCACATTGTTTAGGGTTTCTCTTTTCATAAATGACTTCATTAGCTCACCCCTAATTGTACTACTTGGAGAAAAAAATAATTCTATTTTGCTGTCTGTTCTTGCAGTAAAGCTCAAAGAAAGTGACCCAGAAGCATTTAAAGTACTTTACTAGGTGAAAATGCCACATGTACAAACTTAGTTACAGGAAAAGCAAACGACAAATACACACAGGCTACTACAAACATGCACGCACACTTCTAGTACATGTAATGGTTTCCAAGAGCAGAAACAATACCTTACAGCTGCATATTCCAGAAATGAACAGGACTTCTTAGCAATGAAGCGTTTGCAGGAAAATGGCTTCTGGTTGCAGTCTCTGGCGTCCAAGTCCTTTGTTTCAGAGTGGCATGGAGAGTCCTCTTGGTCAGAGTTCCATTCTGAAGTTCTCCTTCACCTTTAGGCTCCTGGCTTTTAAGAGAAATTTGCAGGCCACCCGTGGGCGGTGCCCCTCAAGACTTGTACGTCTCTATGCAACCTGCATTTCACTTTTTACAGCTCTAGGTGACAGTTGCATCATGAGTTGGCATTAGTAGTCAATGGTGACAAAGCCTTGTCCAGTTTAGGCGTTGGTTGTGTACACAGTTTCCCCATAACACCATCCCATTGTGATACAAATAATGGGAGAAAATACAGGGCAGCCATACCATCAAAAACCAGTTTGGTCTGTTTAGAAGTAGCCTCCATTTTGAGAAAACAGCACTGGCAACAGCCAAGCAGACAGTGTGTGTTTAATTATATATGCACAACACCAACTAATAACTTCAGTAGCTCCTGAGGAACGAAGGGAAGTAAGATAGTCCGAGGTGACTTCGAAGCTGCTGACATCACATCCACAATGGCGGCACCCAGCAGGAGTCTCAGGGCTTTTGGTTGACTACACAAGGCAGACTTACAGAAATAGAATAAGTGCACATAATTAGATAGATCCACACATGCTTTTTGAAACCTGCACACCCTGTGACTGCCTCTAAGGTCTATTAAGTACAGTATACCCCTTACAGCCTTTGAAAACCTTTATGTTGGTGGGTTCTAGGGTGCCAACATGGCACCATTGGGAGACCCGAGTCACCAGCATAGCATGCAAAGTAAAACATTGGAAAATTGTCACAAGCCATGACAGTTCAGGACAGTTCAGGGCTAATGAGGACCACTTCCTTTGTGGAACACAACAGTTTGTGACAAGATGTCCCATGTAGTGGTGACCACATCTCCATCAAGAACACAAGTCTGCAGATTTAGATAAATATAGTCAAGTTTATTCACATTAAATTAAAACCAAATATACATTCCACTCACAGGCCTCCATGAAAGCCTCTACTGCCGTTCGCAATCTATTGGTGTCACCCAGCAGAACAAATTGAAACATAGGAAAAAGAAATAAATAGTCCTAGAGGTCTTTAACAAGAGGATCAGAAGTCCTTATTCCTTGCATTGTCTTGGCCTCTTGGCAGAGTTCAGGTTCCTCAGAGCCGCACAGATTTCTTTGCTGGAAATGGCGTTTCTGGGTTTTGAGTGGGCTAGCCGAGCAGCTTCCAAAGCAACCTGACTGCACAGTGTACCCCCAGCCTTGGGTGCACTCAACTGATCCAGGGCCCAGCTCTGCTGGATTGTGGTTGGATGGACCTAGAAAGGTAGAAGTTGACATTGATCATTAAACCATCTAAAAAAGGACATCACCAGCCAAAGACACAATTTACACACCACATCTGCTGTATGTATGTATGTATGTGATGTAAACAGGCAAATCAGGTGCCATGGTATAGACCTCATCCTCAGGAAAAGTGTGTCCCATGTGGAGTTGGGCTTGAACATGACCAAGATGTGCATGTGGACACAAATGCAGCACTCATTTGAGCTTGAATGAGGGGTGAACGGATTATGAAACAAGCCCATTGAACACAACAACTATACCATGACCTGGATAAAAGGAACACCTTCACCACGGAAGCAATCCACTTTACCTGGTTTAAGACTTGGCTTATGCGTTTCTCATATTGCTTCTTGAACTTCCCCATCCCCTTGGACTGGAGCAAGGGCCGGCGGCTCAGAGCATATGAACTTCTCTTGACCACTGCAACAGGCTTCATTCTGGACACTAATGGAGAGAAATATATACAGTATGACAAGGAAACAACCAACATCCACTGGCCAGAGTCAGACCTCCATCCAGAGCTCTTGGTCCCGCTCAATGTTGCATCTCACCCACACAGGGCTCAGTCAGATTGGGCGGGGGGGGTTAACATTACAGAAGACGCATTGCCACCATCCTTCCAAAGTTTAGGTCTTTAAGAGGCGAAGGCCACAATAGAAATGTTAGCAAGAAGTGCTCATCATTGGTCAGGTGACCATGCTGGGGTCAGAAGGGGCAGTTGCCCTGGGCCCAGTCACATTGTGTGAGAAGTGAATTACCCCCCATAAAAGATTTACAGCAATGGCAGCTCCCACATTTCTAGATTCCCCTTAAAGCTGAACTCCAGGCAAACCAATAAAATACACAGATGAAGTTTTGCCGACCAAATAATTGTAGGTCTGTCCATCCAGTCCTAAAATGTTACACAGGTCTGCTGTATCCTTGTCTAGCAGAAGGAGAGCTGATCTTTCTCTGCTGCAGATGACTGAACTCCTACAGGTCTCTTTCCAACCTACACCCCGTGACTGGACAGTGAACAGAGAACACACCAATGAGCTCACTAAGCTCTCCTCCCACCAGCAGCTCCTTGCACACCCAACTGGTCATTTATTCTGCTTCTCCCTCCCACCAGTTTGAGTGCTACTATGCCATAGAGTGCAAAAGGCTGATGCCAAGTCACATTCAGGTACAACACACCCTGCTTGCAATAAGAAATACATTTACTTATTGATTACAGAGCTGTACTGGTTGCTAGGACTGGCCAGTGGTCCTAGCAACCAGTGATGTCAAATATGTTCCCCACCCCCCAGCATTGCAGCAGGACGGAAGAGGGTCTTCCATCCCCTCCTGCAGTTCTACCATTGGCCCATCAAGAAAAAAGTGGTATGCGTCACATCTGCATTCAGTAGTCTCACTTAACAGAAAATAAATAAGCTTAAGGGGAATACTATTGCAAGTCAGTAGTTTCCAGTTGACATCTTTGTACAGATTTATGTACATTTGAGGATTTATGAGACATTTGTATACATGGGAATGGTTTTGGTCAAGGTTGATTATTTTTACACCAAGTGCCATTTGCCTTTCAGTAAGGATTTCCTACAAAGTTAATACAGTATATACACCAGTTCTGTTTAGCTTCATCTTGCTGTATAACAGCCTTGATAAATGGCACACTAATGACAAGGCTGCTTAGTCAACGCAACTGGCCAAAAAAATTCTAATACAAACCCAACACATTCCAGAACACCATTTTTTTTACATGGCTTGACCCCAGCAATTGCAAAACATTTCCCATATCCCTGACCCATCAGCACACTGCTCACTCACCAACTGCTTCGTACAACAGACACCTACAACCTGGAGAAGCTAACACAATGAGGTTTATAAGGAGAACACTCATTGGCTCATTGGACTCAGCTGGGAGGCATGAGGCATGTGTGCACTCAATCAGGGGGAAATAATTATGTTTTCTAGCTAATCCACCTCCATGTGAGGCTGGACATTGAACAAAATTAACTTTACGTATAGAGTTGTGTTTCATGTTGTTTATGTTTGTTGGACGAGCGCTCGGCGGCCTTTTATATCTGCCTTGGGGTCGGCTTAACTCTGAGGGTCCATTCACACCGGATCCTTGCGTTGCGATTCGCTGCATTGCAATGCATTTTTCAACAGATGCTAACGGAAGGACACTGAAAAATGAATGGTGTGAATGGGGGTAGTTCACACCACTCCGTTACATTGCGCTAAAAAAAAAGGAGAACATGTAACGTAACGCAAAGGATCCGGTGTGAACGAGCCCCATTCACACACATTGATTTTTCGGAGCCCTTCCGTTTGCATCCATTGAAAAAAGAAAGGCAACGGATCGGAAGGAAATCAGAAGGTACAATTGTAAGTCAACGGACCGTCCGTTGACAAGCGATTTCCTTCCGATTTTGGTGTGGATGCACCCCAAGGGCTCATTCACATGGGTGTTAAAAATTCTGCATACAGGTGCTTATTTCTGTGTGCATCTGAACGCAGCACATGCAAATATACAGCCCCATACACACAGCTGCGCCTGGGGCCGTGTTTTTGCGTTGCATACAGATGCGCACAATAGTGTGTTTTGTACACGCATGTAAATGTGTGCATGCGCACTTTAACCCCTTCATGACGGAGGCCTTTTTTACATTTTTTGCACCCATGTTATATTCCACATTTTAGGCCTGAAAATTACTTAAAACCCCCACACATTATATATTTTCTGAATGCCAAGACCCTATACAATATAATGGTGGTAGTTGCAAATTTTTATGTTGCGCAATATTAGCGCAACTCCTTATTAAACCCCAAAATGTAGTGATAAATTTAATTAAATGCCCCAAAACACAACAAAATACCCATTTATAAAATGAAATATAAAAAATGAGGTTACAACAAGTAAAACGATACCCAACATGCCCAGTTTACAAATTGCATGCGTCCGTGAAATGGCAAAAAACTGCAGTACCCCAAAAAGTCCACAGAAGACACTTTAAAAGCCCCCACAGGTCATCAATTTAGAGATACCCCAAAATACTGGCCCTAGAATTATTGCTCTCACTCCGGCGTGCGCGGCGATACCCAACATGTGTAGCGCGTTCGTCGTTTTCATACGTAGGCGCACCCGACGCGTGTTTACGTGGCGACGCGCGTGCTCGCGGGGGCGGGGGACTTTTACAATTTTTTTATTATTATTATTAGGATTTATTTATTTTGATTTTAATTTTAAAAACAGTTTTTTTTGTTTTATCTGGTGTTTAGGGATGGCACACAGTGCTAGACATTTGTATGCATAAAAACACATACGGACCGAATGCGTGCACTCACGTGCATATACGCGTCTATAAAGCTGCATATTTTACGCATGAAATTCTGCGCTTGTGTTCCTTCTATGCCTGTATGAGTGAGCCCTAAGTGCCTGTTCACACGACGTCCGTTTTGTGTGCTCACCTGATCCGTACACTCCTGCACTCAAAATGTATCCCTATGTGTTTTATGGGCTACAGTTCTCATGTGCGCAGTCCGTTCAGCTTACGACGTGTCCAAAATGCATAAAAAACACATACAAAATGCAATGCACTGCGTTCCAGATCTGGTCCAGATCTGGTATGGAAAATGGTGTGAAGCTGCCCTCAAGGGGAAGTTAAAGGAGACGTATGAGGTGAGTGCTTTTCACTCACCTCATAGTTCTAGCCGACCTGTGACAATGAGACTGTCACAGGTCGGCTCAGTAGATCGGGAGGTGAGCGAACACATACCGGCTTTGCTCACTTCTCGATCCTGTCACGGCTCTCTGCCGTGACAGGGGAG